GCAAATGTATGACGTCACCATTTCAACCATCAATGAACGCATGGAACTAAAACAAAGCTTAATATAAAGGAAAAACTAGAGAAGTGACGGAATTACCTACGATGTCGGAATATACCGCGTTTACCCTATAAAAATTTTATACAAGTTATTTTTTCACTATTGAAACAAATTTTTTCAATTTTTAAATTGTTTGTTCTGTCAATTGATTCATGCATTGTCTCTGACTTCATGCAAGTGTGCAAAATTTCAGATCAATTGGACAGGTAGGTAGAATGTACAAGTGTGTTAAATGTTGATTAGCCTACAAGATTTGTAGCAGACAAAATGAATTTATGAATTTTTTCTCTATTGAAACAAATTTTTTAATTTTCAAAATTATTTATTCTGTCAATTGATTCGTGCATTGTCTCCAAGACTCCAACTTTATGCAAGTATGCAAAATTTCAGATTGATTGGAGAGGTATAAGGCCGTATTCGTATAACCGTAGAGCGTAGAAGTACATTAACTGTTAAATATCAATTATAAGATTCATAGCAGACAAACAAACATACCTTTCAAGGGTATTATAAGCAACACAACGTTGTTCTTGGAGCTTCATGAATTCTTGCATCATCACAGCTTCAGTGCGAGGAGCTGGCTGAGCCGGAATGCCAAGATCCACTTCAACAACGTCTACATTTTGAATTTGATTTTCCTCTTCTTTTTCTTCTTCTTCTCTCGGTATATCTGAAAAATTTGCAAGATTAACCTCATAATTTTATATGCGGTGAGATTATTCACAAAGAATAATATATCCTTCTTTTATTTCTGGTACGTAAACAACAAAATCGAAGGTATCAATCACAATGATCACAGGAGGCCAGAGTCGGCAAACGGCAATGACATAAATGATAATAATGGCGGTATGAATGACAGAAAAATTATATACCCATACATTATTAGAAGATTAGTAGCTAAGTTTGAACGAATTAAGAGTAATAAATCTGCTTACCGCGCATTTTATTTCACTAAAAAGTAAGATGACTATGAAACTGCGTCTAAAGTCCCGTCAACGGAACAGAAAAGGATATGAGGCGTTCCGTTTTACAATGATTTCTAAAAATCGGATTCTTGTATATGTATTTCATATTCATGGGCTTTAAAATAAATTAATTATGAACATATGGAAGGAAAATTAACGTGAAGTTAGTTTTAATTTCAAAAGTCACTATTTACATGCTTTTTTACTCATAAAACATTTTCTTTGAGATATTTAAATCAGAGAGAATTCCACGTAAATTTTGAGCTTATTCCTGGAAGAGATTAAAATTCAATAGCCAAGCTGAGGAGCGAAAAATTCTATTAAATGAAAACTTTTTATTGCTCTCTGCTATTTATCTGGCTATTAAGGTTTCCATCTCTTTCATGCAAATTTGTTCGTTCTGCCGATGAAACTCAGGGTATCTGCAACATGTTGTCAATAAAAATATAATCATCTTAGTTTTCGTTTTTACATATTTCAAATATTTGTTTAATTTGCAATTGAACTAATGACATAAATATTTTTTTTGGAAAATGATATCAGAAGTTGATTTTTTAGCTCTTTATTGGGTATTTGCTGCGAATTAGGAAAATTTTCAAAAAAAAACAAACATCATCCAAATTCATGCTCGCAATAATTTTATGGAAAAAGCAATTGCACAAAATTTTTCATACCATGTAGTAAATATGCTGGGCTTGTAAGTTGTTCTAGCTCTTCGGGGACGATGATGTATTTCTATAAGCATTATCTATGCGCTATGCCAAATCGGACCCTTAATATAAGAATAGTCTCAGCGTGAAGCAAATAATAAAGGTGGTATTGGAAGACGTGTATACGTGACGTCTTGGAAGGAAGACAGACTAGGAGCGTGGCATGACTCACTCACGTACCATGACTCACTTATTGCCTCTGCAAACAGTGCCTGACCTTGCGTCAAAATGACCTCGCATAAATACAGCATGGCTCAATATTTATCATGACATTCTGATGTAATTTGAAGCTATATGTATAACGGAAATTTTGTTTGAAACGGAACGCTATGTTGTTTAACTTTGTTTGAAACGGAACGATAGGTATGCTGTATAATTTTGCATGAAACGGAACAATATGTTGTTTATACAAATTGTGAAGCACAGATGTTCATTCTGTCGCCATCTGTCCTGACACGCCGGAACAAACGTACAACAGCAAAAAGAAATTTTGCACTAACTTCCCTACAATGTGTATCTCACTCGGATCTTACTTATATATTTTTAATGTTTATATATAGCAAAAAGTTATACTTTCCTTTCTGGGAAATGTGTTTCTCATTTCACGCGAACAAGACTCAAATTTTGTAATTTTATAGTCTAGAATACAAGTCCTTATAGACTTAGAATAAAACAATCTTTGAGAGGAAAATTTTCATTGTATATAACATCGTCATAAGACAAAAGTTATTAGGCAGTAAGTTTCCATTAAATTGAACAAGAAAATATCATGACTCTTACGATGGCAAAAGGCAATAAATATATTGATAAGATAACCCCTATCACGAAAAGCACGATAAACGAAAAGTTTTAATCATATTACTCAGCCTAATGCCTCACTGATAAGCTTATATTCGAGAGTCAAGTACCACATCACATTAAAAATTAGAGTAATTGTTTTATATATTCACCAATATTGCAGTGGACGGTACGAGTCTTTATTGTTCATCAGAAAAGTAGGATCAATAAATTATTTATCGTTATCTTGAGTTGCATATCTCATTATCCGTGTTCATGCCTTTCATGTCCTTATACGGGCAACCCTTTCGGATTTGATTTTTTTATGATTTCTTTGAATTCTATGATTATATCGATTTCAATGTTCCAGTTCAAGATTTATTTTCTATTCATTAATTTTACACGATTTCTGTAGAAAAATCGTCTCAGCAACCGTCTTTTTTCGCGCCAATTCGATTCCGGCAGGGGATTTGAAAGATGTTAAAATCTTTATAGATGTTGCATTCATTGTATGTAAATAATATATCTTGAACAAACTACTCATATTGAAAACAGTGTAGATATTGCAACACACACTAGGATCTGAAAGATTTAAGGGATAGACAAGCACTATTTAAATAGATCTCATGTACCAAAGTTATTAGTCAGTCGAACTCCAACGTTACACTCAGAGAAATGAGTGAGACTTCGTCGAAAAAGCGATGCACTTTCTACCCATATATGCATCATACAAACGGAGTATGGGCCGGCAAGAGAGCGTATCAGTGCTACGTCCTGCTTCTTCTCGTGTCGTGTCATGAAAAAGTGTGTCATTATTTGGAAAAAGTGGTTCATTATTCGCGAAATACGACCCAATGATTTTTATGAGTGTGGTGCTCAGGTTAGCGTTGCGACGGCCCCCTCAGCGCACAAGGCGAGATCAATACAAGACCTTGCCTTGCTATACTTATAGTGCATGGGGGACCTATAGCCTTGCTATACTTATAGTGCATGGGGGACCTAGCCTGTCAACGTTGCTCTTATACGGTGAGAACTTAATCATAATATTCAAGTAATAAATATCTTAAGTGGAGACTACAATCAGCTAAATAGATGGTCATACCGTCCAACTAGGGACTATCTTACCCAAAGCATGAGCAGTGAGCGGTCGTGTCAGTGATAAGTCCTTGTGCCTGGCCAAACTGTGTCAGGATAACCCACACAAAGGCAAAAAGTGTAGCTTATTGGACAAAGTCTCACTCATATTTCTGATTGCACACAAAACCGAAGTATAGCACAGTTTCCATGGCGACGCTCTAGAGTTTGCCTGTCGTCCATAAATTTACTTGCATTGATAAATGATAATTTTACATTTCTCATATTTCATAGGTAAGTGGGAAATTTTTCATAGGTACAATCACTTCATAACAAAAATAATATTTCACCGAAATACATTTTTAATTTAAAGCCGGCAGTAAATGCAGGAAAATATGTTGGGAGTTATTTGAATAAGGATTTTGCACCGTATTATATTATTTCCCAATATTACGTATAATCCATAATAATATGGTGAAATAACATAGTATTATTTATCTTATTCAAATTTATTATTTGTTTTAAAATAATATAATAGATTATTTATTGCATTACAGTTTATATATAATATTAATTATATCTCATTGCAATACATTATATTGAGAAGACATAAAATTATCAATAAAAAATATTATCTGCTCCTCGATTAAACTTGCATAAAGGAAGGGCTCCTGCCGAACTATTCCAATATTTATTATATTGTGTTTGTATTATATTATTTATTTATTATATTGTTTAGTAACCGACATGTTCGGCCGCTGTGGAGGCGCTGCCGAAGCTCATTTTGAGCGGCCTAAATCGATCGTGCGAGGGGAGACTAGCAGATCAATACAAGACGGCTGGGTAGAAGATTATAGAAGTGCCTTATAAACTGGGGTTTATATTATAATGTTTTCTTTAATGACGGAGAAGTAAACAAAATGAAGAAATGAAGTCAGTGTAAATTCCCTAGCACACTGAACAAGATAGCGCAATTAACTCGATGTAAATGTTTGGCATGGTGCTCGTAATTATCTTTCGAAACGTGATGAAATCCGACATTTAAAATTATTTATGCTACTTATTTAATTTTTTTTTAAATCGCTAAATACGGAACATAAAAACATACATATACGGATATACAATCATTTACTAATTTACTTATCACTTATGCCTTATTTACGTGTCCCCTATGCTGCTCACCATCATTAATTAATCCACTATATTTATATAGCGCCGAACATCTCATAACCTGTTTTAGTTTGACATAGACTCACTCTTCGTAGTTCGTACTCAAGTAGTCTGCCACGCTTGTCATTCCGTGCCGCTACCTTCACAGCCACGCCGCCGCAAGCCCGCCAGATGGTGTTTTTAAGGCCAAGTTGCACGCTGTTGGCCCAAAATATCATAAGCTTTTGAAGTCTATTTATTTGTATTTTACTTAGTAATGTATTTGGTGTTTATTGTATATTGTATTTTGCATTTACTCAATGTGTTTCTCAATTCTTGTAAAACCCAAAATCTAGGCGTCACACGGCAAACAACAAGTTTCCTTATAAATATTTAATTGTGGCTGGTTATGGCCTTTTTGGGAGTGAATTTGGCGGTTTTCTCTTGCCACTATCTGGCAACCCCACGCCATGCATCTCCTGCAGTCAGCGCAGTGTTGCCTAACAAGGCAGTGCATTGCCTGACCTCGACGGGGGTTGGCGTCAGGGTTATTGCCTCTATGAGCGCCATGGGCGCCGTTTATGCAAGAACTCCATATAAGGGCGCGGCGATTGTCGGTGGCGGAATAGGGATGGTTTGCCTGGCCAGCGTTGCCTTGTTTGGCGGGTTGTTGGTCCTTGAAATCTCATATCTCACCAGGCATCTGACGCTCAGCCAGCATCGAAAAACGACTTGTTTGAAGGGAATCAAATGATAATGTAGTTTCAACGTTATTTTTTTCGTCCAGCCAGCGTAGCATTGTTTAACGTGCTGTTGGTCTCTGGAAACGCATATCCCAACAATAATTGGACATTTAATTAATGTCAATAACGAGCTTTTACAGCCAAACAACTAATAACAGTTTAATTTGGCAAAACTAACTCATACTCCCTATTAACGCCGAAAATAGAATTGTTCATAAGAAATCAATTCGTAATTATCTTTATTTCAACGTTGGAAGGGATTTTTTTTTTTTTTTTTGCTGAGCCCGCGTCACTTTGCTTGCCCAGACTTGCAGCTGGTCCTCTCAATAGCAGCAGTCACGGTCGAGGTTGAATGGACAAACAGCTGTCAAAATCTTAGCAAAATAAAAGCTTATTTACACACAGTAACTGAATTATTGGAGTAACTTTCTCCATTAATGAATATATTTTAAACCCCTTCTCACTTTCCTGTCTCGGTTGTGCTCAAACCTGTATACTCTAATATAGTCATCGTTTCACTTATCTCACATATTTGAAAATATATTATCTTTCATGTAATTGACAACTTATTTTTTTGTGTAATGTATTGTGCAGTCTTTCGTTGACTGCTTGCATGTCTGTTGCACGAAACACAACCTCAAATATTCGACCATATTGATCATATTTTTATCTTATCTGTGAACTTGGAACTCAAGTGCATCTTGACATTTCACGAAGCTGCACACAATATTGCGTGTTCAAACTCTGATTGTTATCAACCCTTAGACTTTTAAGACCGTGATCACGGTCTATCGTTTGCTTTATGGAGGACATTATACCTACAAATAAAATAACATAACATAACATATTGATCTCGGCGCTGAAGTGTAGGCCTGATGTGGCCTGTCACCGATTCTTTTCCTTTTCGTGCCTTGTTCACAGAAAATCTAAAACATGAAGGAAATACGGATGCTTTAGAATCATATAAACAGTTATATTCATTTCTAGAGTAACGTTTGATCTAAACCAATGTTTAGCTACTAGGGATTAAAAAATGACAATCCAGCGGAAGTAAAAAAAAAACATTTCTGTATTCCTTGAGATTGTTCTCAGCGTAGAAAGAAGTGAGACATTATTTTTCTGCGCTCTTTAACACAAATTCTTCAACAAAACGTATGGTTTGGGATTTATGTTACGTCACAGTATTGTTTTCTACGCAAGTTCTTTTCCTAAGCCCATCAAACTCACTCGTGAGCGTTTGGCACGACAAGGAATTCCCTCTATCTTTTGCCTTATCAAGGGATGACCATATTTGGTAATTTCCTTTCCACAATATAGATAGAGTCATAATTCAGCTAAAATTTGTTATAATAAGAATTTCTTAAAATCAACTAGTTCAAATTATTAATGACGAAGAAATGTTCTTTCACCAACATGCATTAAAATTACAATGCCAGTTGTCAATACATAAATATAGAAAAAATAAATAGGAGGTGGCATCGTTAACTACTCCACTGACCATAGATCTTCAACAAGGTTATGTAGAAGCTTTTATTTTATTTAATTGAACTAACAAATTAAGATAAAAAGATGAATTTATGCAACAATGTTCTTATATAAGGGCATTTATAAAGTATCGTGTCCCGAATATTCGTTAAATTACTGCACAATATTTTCTCAGATGTACCGAACTGGCATCTGTTCGTTAAGATTTTGAACCAATGAGAGATGATTATGAGAGATTTGACCATGCTTTTGAACCAATCAAAAGCTTTGTAGCAAGAGCTTTCGAGGCACCGCGCAGCAATATCCTCTTATATATGTGTAGAGTCAGTCACTACGCCCCACTTCAGTGTTCTAGTTGTCAGTGAAGGAGTGTGAAAAGTCAGTTGCTTGACTCGTAATTACATTTGATAATGGTGAGTGTATTGTTGGGAGCTTTTGAAGCTTTATAATACTATGCACTATATTGAGTAAGATGCCTACATATCTATGAAGTCTAATATCCCCATAGTATCGACGAATGCTGGGAACTATCCCGTCTATCCGGCGGTGCCGGTATCGGTATGGTGTCGCCAATTATTATGCAGTATTCCATAAAAAGTCAATGTTAGCTTGAACTTGGATATTGCAATGTTCTGTATCCTTACAATTATTTTTTACATTGTCTTATCGCGAAAATTAGTTTTGTTAAAATTTGGATTTAAATTTTATTTAGTCATAACTTAAGTATTATCTCGATGACTAGCTACCTAATCTCTTCACGAGTTCATCTCATCACTCATGCCGTCTTAGACTTATATCATTTCATTAATAAACTTTTTTGCTTAGGCGTGATGCAAGATAATTTTATAGTGTATCTACTCATTTGTGAAAGTGATGACTAATCAATAAGAGAATCTTTGTCTAGTTTGTGCATCTATTATTATAAATAAATTCATTACTGTTTAATGTGACTGATAATTTACAAGCCTACCTAGGCTTAGTAGCAGGATGGAATTCTAATTTCGAAGGTTCATATATTATTTCGATCCACCAAGACAACTTTTTCTACCCAACATCGTTATTTGAGGCAAAAACTGAACTTCTTAAAGGCTTAAAATACGTACACTGCCTTGCTCAGTTTCTATAAGTACCTAACCACTTTGAAGTTTTATGCTTGCTCCTTTCACTCAACAATTAAAATTAGACTTATATAAAGTATTAGTTAGTTGAAAATTTGTCTGAAACGGTAAAGCAATGCGGATTGCGGAAGTTGAAAATTTTATGAAATGACATGTTTGCTGAAGTGCAAACCGCGATTTTTTAATCAAACAAAAATTTATGACATTCGAGCCGCGAGATTTCATACCTACTGAAATTATATGATATTAGAGCCGCGAGATTTCATACCTACTGAAATTATATGATATTAGAGCCGCGATATTTCAGACAAAAATAGCACTTTTCCAGACTAGAGTGAAAGCTGTTAATATTTGTTAAACTCCAACTTCCAAGGGAGACCTTCCTTGATCAATCTAGGTAATAATCAATGATAAGTAAGTAAGGCATGCAAACATTATTAATGTTCCTACTTGTCAGTCAGGATTCAGGAATACTCAGGATTTGAATTTCCCTATGTATGAATGAAACCTCATGGCTGCATTGTGATTAATTGTTAATAATACCTTTGAAATCCTGTAGCTCACTGAGCTCAATTGTACACTTTTGATAACAATTAGGTAGGAGGTAATTCATTTAGTGGGAATGTTGCACCTTCAGAAATGGCAGGAAATCTCAGGTTGTCTATTGATATTCCACAAAAAGTCAATCAAAAAGAGTACATATTAATTAGCTGTAATGCTTGACAACTCTATAAACAAGATTTCTATGGCAAGATGACCTTTGGGGCTTTACTATACATTTTTGCACATGTAGCCTACAATCCTACATCATATTTATTTAAATGATCATTCAAGGGTGATTGTCAATGTCAAAAATTGTAATCAGAAATGTAATTTTTCTTAGCTTACTCTGAATCAATTAGGCAAGAGCAATGGGAAATGGGAATGGATAAAATTGTCTGCAATTATGGACTTTTTCAAACGTGTGGTTATGTATACATTCTCCCCAATTTTTCATTTGAAGTTATCTTGTTTTCTCAGTTTTTTTAGAAGTCAGGGAGTCCAAGCAACAGTTTATTTGCCTGTTTAATTTTTAGCAAGAAATTTCTATATTGTTCTGACCTTGTATGATGGCTGCAGTTTGTGAAGTTGTGTTTAACATCAAAATTTGCAAAAATAGTTCCTTAGTAACTAAACTTTAGAATTGCTTGTTTTTTTACTACTGGATTAAAAAATTCAATTTACTTTATTTCTATGTAGCAAAGGTCAATAATTTTAATATGTATTTCTGATAGGTTTCATGTTTACTTTGCTTCATTTTGCTAATCACAAGTGAGTAACCTAAACTTCACTTATTTAAAGTATCTTAGGCTTCTGCTGGATTTCCTTATTTTCAATTACTAAAATTTTTCTGAATAATCTGAAGAAAGCAAATGGGTCTTTGATTCTGTTTTGGAGTATAAGTTTTTATTTGCTATGCTAAGTCCATATTATTAATGACAATAAGATTTGCAAGCAATTTTTCAAAGTAATTACATTTTTATGCCATATCAAATGCATCAAAATATTTTTTGGACAAATGGAAAATTCCATACTCTGAAGACATGATCTGCCTAGCAGGATGTTACCATATTTAGATACAATATCACCTGATGTTAGAGTTGGTGTAAGTTGGTGAAGTGACATGCATGAAAGTGTAGGCTGCTGGCAGCTTGCCAATGTACAGGTGGAGGCATGGCAGTAGCAACGCTTCTAAGTACTGAGTGCTAGCAGACTTCTTTGATCTTAAGCAGCATATTTGCCTAATGGTTATTTGTGATTATTTGCCTAGCTCTTTGTTAGAGAGTACATTGGTATTTTGTGTAACATGGATATCTAATATTACTGACAATGCTTAGTCAGTTCAGTTTATAGAAATTTTGTAACCAAATTGTTATACTTTTGCAGCATTACTATTTCAAACTAATCTTGTTGTGAGTGTTGCATAGCATGTCCTATAAGGCTATACGTATTGTCTTTTAAGCTGTTTTGCCTCAACTATTCATTTTGTTGCTGTAATGATATTCAATAGTTATCATGCCAATTAAATTGGTTAGCTCAAGAGATGCTTAGGCAAATTAAGTAATGTATACATGCAACTTAGTTTATTTTCAACTACTGGTTTTCCTTAAAACTGCTGTGATAATTCAAACTGTTATGATATTGATTAGAACTGACATTACAGGCTTCAGGAGTTCAAGTTGCTGATGAGGTGGTGGAAGAGTACAAATTTATCAAGAAGGGGAAGAAATACAGATATATTGTATTCCACATTAAGGATGAAAAGAAGATCTGCATCGATAGTGTGAGTGCTAGTTTTTAGAATTTTAGTGTTAAATGTTACAAATGGGTGCATATATCATGTGACGATTGAATAATTATGTATAGATACATACTTAATTTTTAATTTTTCTGTCATTTCTGGAAGCCAGATGCTTCAGTTTCAACAATGCACTCGATGTATTTACTGAAATTTAATTAGTTGATAGCTCTGTGTGGTTGGTGTGCCTATGGCTGAACAGAAAATATTCCTAGTTCGTAGCATTCAAATTCCCAAAGTAGATGCATAATGTGTATAGTTATTGTGTGAAGTGGAAATTATTCTTTAGCACTTGAAGCAATTAGATGATGTTCCCAGCATCGGGTGCTGATTTTGATCATTGTTTTTTGATTAGGGTTTTCCGTTAGGTCCAAATATTGTTTTAGCTCAGTCTGGCAGAATCTACATCTTGACTAAGATTCTGTGTCCCTAGAAAGCTGCATTGCCAAACTTTACTTACTCAATTGTGGATCAAATTATTTAACAAGCCGAAACTTTAGTGTAAATCTTGACCTTATTTCTGATATTTACTATTGAGTTCAGTATTTTGCCTGGTAAACATTGAAACTCACAGAGTTCAAGATGTTATTGGTAATAATTGCTGCCGGTATTGCAGAGTGGTGACCGCGATGCCTGTTATCAAGACTACCTGGACCACTTAGCCAGCCTTGGTCCTGATGAGTGCCGCTATGGACTCTACGATTTCGAGTTCGAGCATGCCTGTGAAGGTGCTGCTGACGTAAGTGTTGGTCGCTGTGGTCGGCCGGTAAGGGTTTTGTAGCCGATTTAAAATTTTCAAGAACTTCCTACTGATACATTTGCAGTCGTCGATTTATTTGTATCTTAAGGCGTCGTAAGTACAGTAAACGTGAAGATTTAATCTGGTCGAATCGACGTTCCTGCTGCATTTAAGACGATAGATTACTCTTTCCTCCTGGCAACAGAAGTTAAGTTATTGAATAGATATGCCGTCAGGTTCCTGTGAACATAATATTGTTCCTTCACTTTAAGTCTTTTGAAGGAGTAAGACGCTGAATTAAGGAGTCGGTTAACTCAACCAACTGGCCATTTAGTCTTGTCGGTTCGATGTGGTGATACAATAGATTTTAAGATCGTGTCTCGGTTCTATTACTTGTCAGAGCTAAACTCTCCAGTTCAAACTATGAATTCGTGCTGTACCATTCTACCATTTCGTTTTCAAGGTATCCTATCAATTTATTTTTGTTGGATAGGATTAAGTCAATGTGGTAGAACCAGTTTCTCAGGCGGCTTTCCAGCAGACCAGCCATGGATAATGTGCTCATTTAATACCTAAATATTTTTGGCTGTGGAATGGAAGATTACAACTACTTGCATCCTGATAGTGCTTGAAGTGAAGAATCGAATTCCGAAAGGTTTGTATCTTTCTTGTCTGATCCATAAAAGCTCTTGCGTAATAAATGCAGTGAAGTTTTGACCTTTTTTCTGGTTTATCATTTATGGTTAACTGTCCATCTTTTCTTTTCAGACGAAAAGATCGAAGCTGATTTTGATGATCTGGTGCCCCGACACTGCCAAGATTAAGAAGAAAATGCTTTACTCTTCCAGCTTTGATGCTCTGAAGCACTCGCTTGAAGGCATAGGAAAATATATTCAGGTACGAAACGATTACCGTCAACACGAATAACCTGATTCTGTTAACAAGGTTCGATCAGCATTGGGGGCTACTTTACTTCGGCTTATAATTATTAGTTAAAAATTACGAAATCGTGGGTGTTGACACCAGCCACTTAAATAGGTCGCATCAGCATCCTTGATTAGTTCGTCGAGCATTGCCCGTTCATCTTACGAATGAGTAAATTTTTACTTTTTTGTGGTACTTCGTGGCTATGTTACGTTACACGCCATGAGTGGTAATGTAATTTATTCCAGTTCTTGCGTGTGCCGTGTAATTTTCACACATTTACCTTTGATTGTTTTTCAAAGATTACCCTAATTGTCAGTTTTTTAATTACTTGCTAATGATTACTTCAATTAGTAATGATTTATCCCAGGCCACGGACATGTCAGAAGCCGCGCCCGAGTGCATCCTGGAGAAGATCAAGTCGACCGCGCGCTCGTGAGGTCGTCAGCCGAGTGCAACCCTACATGCTGGCTGATGATGGGGGCACTAGAGCGACGTTGCTCTGCTCCACTTTATTCCTACCATTCGCTGCTCCTGTAGTCCTGATTGCTTCAATACATTTCCGTTCGTTGTAGTTTCCCAGTTGCTGTTGACCCGCCACCTCAACGTAAATAGCACCATAGTTGTGGAGATCATATCGTCTACGTGAAGCCTCTTGGTTCCATTATGGGCCAATGTATTTTGGAATGCTTCTCACAGCTGAATTGATTCGGTAATTGCCAGGAATTAGTTAAATCTTTTGAAGGTTTCAATTAAATTTTGCACTTTCGCAAGCCTTCTGATATTGTCTTCTCTTGGACACTTCTTTTGAACGATTCGTTTGACGGAATGTGTCTGGATGCGAGGGTAAGAATAAGAGCGCCGACGCGATAGTAGTGGCATGAATAATCAGGTAACGAAGTAGTGGATTGTTAGGTTTGATAGAGCCGAGCTAAAATATTAACTTTGCTCGATAGGTCAGCTTGTGGATATTGAATCCTATGACGCTCTTCCATCGATTCCCTCTAGAGCATCAAAGACTTATTTAAGGAATTCTATTATAATTATTTCTAGTGGAAACTATTGAATTCTAAATTTCGAATTTCGCGCCTACTACCAAAAGTTTGCATTTTTCATCAAATTATTCGTCAATAAATTTCTTTTTGATTCACAACCCATATTCATTAATCCACCGATAAGTAATAGGTTAGTTTGATGAAAGGAACATGGAAAATTTTAACTATATGTATTAACGCAAGTTGCCCCGATGATCTGGCGTCACATGGAAGTAAATAGTTTGGCAAATGTGGACCTGCACGATGGAAGTGGTGTGCACCAATTCTTGATTGGGATTCTCATTGACAACCGTCATAAGTTGCTACTGACGGAATTGTCTTCACAAATCTTGGGTGTAGATTTGAAAACTGGAGGATTTTAAACAATCCATCGCATAACTGTAATTTCAAGATAATTTATTGAACATGGAATTAATGGGTTTTTATGAAAGATACCCGCTTATTTCTGTCTGTCCAGTTGCCGAATCAACAAGTAATAGTAGTAGTATGGTGGTTTACTATCGCAGCTATCAAGCTATTTCGCACCGGAGGTCAAAATGTAACATCGCCAGCAAGGCGGAAGGTATCAATTATTCAATATCTCAAATTATTCATCACTCACAAGGGACGGAAGGTCTCAATTGTCCAGCCCGCTGAAGCTGGCTCAAAAGAAGCAGCGTTAGCATCTCAAAGAGACGAAGTGACAAGGAGGGACAGGTGAAAAGCAACAGTAACGAAGACACTAACAAGAGGTCGCTTACACGGGACGTCGGCCGCCCGCACGAGAGAGACAGAAAGGAACTGTAAGAAATCCTACCTACATAATAACTTAACCCCACAACTGAGATCCGCAGTCAGACACCGCGAGCTCAGCGGTGGGGCGCTCAGGAACAATCCTCCTCTACCAGTAATAGGAAAATGGTTTATTCGTAACTCGATCAGGCGCAAAATTTCAAGGAGCGGACAAATTTGGTATAGTGTGACGGTGTCAGCATTAATTAGGCCGTTTGACCTGTCTACGATTCTGAACATCGACAGCTTGTTGCGGGTCTCGAACGTGCAGCTCAAATTTCGCCGATATGACCAGAACTGTCGCACGGAGGTGGGACGATTACTCCTGCTTCAACCCTGGTATGCTGAACTTTTACCACAGGGCTTACCTGCCCCGTTACTCTTGGCCACATATTTGTAGATACGATTCTACAACCGACGATAGTGAATGTAGTGTGGTGACAAAAACGTCGCACACTACAGTTGATAAAATTGGTTTTCTAGTCATTGGACTATCAAGTTGAGATATCACAATGACAATCTCGCTCAAAACAATACCGGTTACTACACTTTCAAAGCGTATGGTATTTATCTTCATCATATTTTTAAACGAGGTTCGCTAATTATAACTTCATACAGGAAAAACTGAACCTTCCAAACAAGTTGTAATTGATACCATTATCTGCATGTAAAATCAACCTAGGAAATTATTGCAATCAATATCGGTTCGTTTAATTTGCGTGCGCTGACAATGATTGACTATGGAGTATGAACCATCGTTTTCCAGCGAAACCTCGCCGGCTCATTCTGACAGCCGCAGCGCTTTGGTTAGATTCTCGCTACGAGATGGCGCTTAGCGAGACGTCGGTCAATCAATGCACATGCGGCGGTAATATGAACCCAGTATTGATCCCATGTCCGTGACAGAGCCTGTTAGTGACGCGTTGCCAGCACATTCAGTCGGCCGAAGAGCTTCGTCCGCACACTCGCGTCCTCCGTGGTTTATCCTGGAACTCCTGCCAGCATCGGACACAGAGACTGAACGAGGCAAAGGTCGCTTATTGGTGCGCGTGACGGAACTTCGGGCACTGGGTCGAGCGCTGCCGATGTAGCCATACGAGAAGTGATCTGAGGGAGGGAGATCAATATTTTAATATGATGTCTACTACCAGTAACTCTCGTTACCTAGCCTTTACATTGTTAAGCATAGACAAAGCTTAGTAAATCCGTGGGGTGAAAATGGAACAAAAAAATATACTGTAAATTAATCCGTATTAATCTCGTGGTTAAGAATAAAAAGATGAAAAATAACTCGTAAACATTTTTCGAAGAAGTTCCGCGCACAGAGTTTGGGTTATCAATTGTTTCAATAGTCATCATGCAGATTAATTCAAGAAGAAATTTCACCAAAAATAAATCACTTTCTCTAAATAAATTTACCTAATTATATACATAAATTAATCTAATTGGAACGAGTGGGCAATACTGTCATGAATGAAATAAAATAGCGCAAAAGTCTTGGCGTGGATAGACCAGTGAATATTAGCATGGTTACTCGCCTTTGAAATATGCTTCCTGTTCAGTGAGCAGCTCGACGAGTTCCGAGTTGTCCATGGGAGGTCCTGAGCCTCCGAGCTCCGAGGGGAGTTCGTGCCCCGGGATGAAGTCAAGGAGGCTCTGCGTGTTGCTGCCGTGGAAATGAAGCTGCACACAAAATAAGTCATGACGGTACATTGACAACTTGCTGGGTAACCTTTTGTCCACGGGTAAATTAACTGGCGACAATGCTATTCGTATCAAAATGTTTGGTAACAGGAGTTACCGTCAGTAAATGATATAAGGTTGACAAGGCGTTGCTGGGGGTACATAGAATCTCGATGAAGCCGTGCGGTTGAAATCACTCTAATTGCAGCAGCGAGTTGAGGGTTCGAATTCGGCAACTAGTAGTAAAAACTCGAGGCGTGATCGGTGAGGTGACCGGGTCATTAAACACATGAAGGTTGGATCAGTGAGTTTTGGGTTCGAGATCAGCAACTAGCTACTAAAATTCTGCGATGGCTGGAATCGGTCAAACATAATCTGATCTTCAACGCTGGCCATCGTAGTCGCATAATAAATGATTTAACAAAAAGAATAATAAACATATTTCTACAATTCAATGATATACTAGTAGTTGTCACTAAAAAATGCATCACATGTTCTTAAAAAAGTTGTTTTCATCTTTACGTAATTGCCAATTTTGTCGCATTTCAAAGCTACAAATCACTTTGTCAAATTTTTATCAGGGTCATTAATTTCGCAAATAATTAAATCATGTTTTAATATAACACAAATAAAATTACGCAGAAACTGACCCGTTTCTTGATGGTGTCAGACAGCAGAGGTTTGATGAGGCTGAACATCCACTCGAACATCAATGGCTCGTTGATGAAGTGCAGAGCTTTGAAGCGCAGCGGGAAAACTTCCTGTCATCAAAATATTCACTTTAATATCAGGATAATCAAACAAATATAAAAAGTTGAAGTAATAATTTCAGTTGAACCTGCAGGCTCCAAGCATAACTACAATGAAGATATTGTCCAACAGATGAAGTGAAGAAGAGATTAACTTGCACCCAACTTATAGTCATAACAAAGTGATCTCGGCGCTGCAGTGTAGGCCTGATGTGGCCTGTCGCCGATTCTTTTCCTTTTCGTGCCTTGTTCACAGAAGATCTAAAATCGTGTCATTTGACCGGATCTTTTCACGACTGACGAAAGTTTGAAATTGCTACTCGACTTCCACCGGGTTCGATATGGTGCTAAGCATTTCAAATCTGAACATATATTTTTCCATAGCTTTATCTAGTCTGTTCTTGAACGCGTTCATACTTGGAGCGCCAACGATGTCATCGGGGAGGCTGTTCCACATGTCAGCGATTCGAAGCGAGAAGAAATGTTGGCGCGTGGAGAAGTTGTAGCGCAGTTTTTTTTAGTTTATAGCTGTGGCCCCTGGTGTTGGTTATTGTTGTGCAGAAACGTTACCTTTATCATCACATAGATACACATTACCTGCATCTTCCTAATTTAGAATTAAGTTTTCCTTTATAAAAGGAACAAGGAAATTTGCCTTTCACGCGATTTATTTATTTATATCTTTATATCTTAACGGAATTTAGGGGAAAATGAAATTATACAAAAAATTATCATTTTCATGGGAATTATTTGAAAATGAAATGAAGATTCCGTACATTTGGGGTAAATTGTTGTAAAGGTTAATTAATTTATGACGGAGGTAATCCAGGGGTGAAAAAATGTCGCGCGTTTAATGTAAGTATACAATAATGTTGACAAAATCTGTGAAATCGGTGTCGTGCGCTGTGTGGCATTGAAAAGTGACACATAGCACACACCATCAAATAAGGTGAAAACTTTTGGCAACCACTAACGGTTCAGCTCAATTGAAAACGTTTGGAAATAACGTTGAGTTGAAAACTTTTGGCAACCACTAACGGTTCAGCTCAGTTGAAAACGTTTGGAAATAACGTTGAGTTGAAAACTTTTGGCAACCATTAACGGTTCAGCTCAGTTGAAAACGTTTGGAAATAACGTTGAGTTGAAAACTTTTGGCAACCACTAACAGTTCAGCTTTGTTGAAAACGTTTAGAAAAAATGTTTAAAAAACTCGAAAACTTTTGAAAGAAAAACGTTTGAAAAAAAAACGATTAGTTGAAGACGTTTGGCAACCACTAACAGTTCAACTTAGTTGACGTTTGGCAACCACTAACCTGCACTATAGCGACCATCCTTCGCACGTGGGCGGCTGTGAGGTTGTAAGCATGAGTTCGGCCGAGACCGGCGCAGTCGACGACGGCTGCTATGCCTTTAAGTTGAGTTACAGGGTTCCTGACGGCGTGCTCCAGCAGCAGCACCTGCGCTTTGAAGAGGTCGTCCAGCGACACAGTGCTAGGGTTCCAAGATCCTGGAATATAAGAAACGAGAACGAACATAAGGTATACGAATAAATATTAGGCTCGAGGAAGCATGTAACGGACCAAAAGGAATATAAGGATCGAGAAGTAAATTGAGGATCAAAAAGAAGTACAAGTATTAAGATGTAAAAAACATTTTCACACTATGGATACCGAACCCATCGATTTGACTAATTTTAAGTCCACTCCACTCTCTTGGTTAAGAGAGTGGAGACAACAGGCGGCAACAATCGCATACTCAGACAACTAAATGGGCCATCTAGTCCATATTGCGACAAATTTTCTGGGTTGATACGCCTTTTTGAAGGGCCAATCTAACGCAACATGAATCACAAAAGGGCAAAAATGCCTGGCTATTTAGATAAAATCTCGTGCATTTCTCCAAATGCAGCACACATCGGTAACGTCACACACACAGACCGCGGTTTAGCGACGACGTGACGTGCGGAAGAAAGCGGCGCATAGAACGAGAAAAAGCTTTTCGAAACGTGGCTTACTTAGCCGTCATAAAAAAATATTTTATGCTCTGCCTTATATCCGTTTCAGTTGGATGCGTGGAATGGCGCTGCAAAGCAAGAAAAGTGCGTAGGAGCTATAATGGTGATACGGACCGAGAATGGCCGGCGTAGAATTATTAAAAGAAACAAATTCAGTCAGCTAACCATGATACACAGTCACCAAATAACGAATGAATGTTTTACTGAATTGAATTTCGCGTCTTTGGTAATAAAAAACGGTACCTACCGGCCCTGAAGATGAGCACAGTTCTGCCCTGTAGATCTGGTGATGGTAGGATGGTCTGAAGCTTCTTCTCCCACACGTGTTGCAACGACGACACTGTCAGCCCGGTGTAGAAGGGGCGGTTAGCCTGGCGAGACCGGTAGTAGCCTTGCACCTGGAAAACAATAGGTAGTAGCTCTGCGCCTGAAAACAATAGGTAGTAGCCCTGCACCTGAAAAACAATAGGTAGTAGCCCTGCACCTGGAAAACAATAGGTAGTAGCCCTGCACCTGAAAAACAATAGGTAGTAGCCCTGCGCCTGAAAAACAATAGGTAGTAGCCCTGTACCTGGAAAACAATAGGTAGTAGCCTTGCACCTGAAAAACAATAGGTAGTAGCCCTGTACCTGGAAAACAATAGGTAGTAGCCTTGCACCTGAAAAACAATAGGTAGTAGCCCTGTACCTGGAAAACAATAGGTAGTAGCCTTGCACCTGAAAAACAATAGGTAGTAGCCCTGTACCTGAAAAACACTAGGTAGTAGCCTTGCACCTGAAAAACAATAGGTAGTAGCCCTGCACCTGAAACGCCGACGCAGTGAACGGATATTGACACAGAATGGAAATCGTTTGCCTCAATTACCGTCAACCAGGTTGTTTAGTTTTAATGGAGGGCCGAGCCCAGAATAACATAATGTATATATCCGCTGTGCATTGTGTTTCCAGTCTATACAAAGTTCCCAGTCTATACAAAGTTCCCGTTAGAAAAATATCTTTACGAAATATCATCTGCGAAACTCTTTAAAGCCTTTTAAACCGGAACTGCTTAATAAACATGAATCTTGTTAGCATTGATTTTCGAATTGACTAAATTGACAGAAGAACTTCTGCTGGATGAATTTCACACCGAAGATCATGTACGAGAGTATTTGCAAAAATGTTCGCAAATATTTTTCGAAGAAATACAGAAAATTAATTTCACAAAAAAAATAAAACAAATGTAAAAATTTTACAATTATGACGTAGAATATACTTGCACTGAAATCACAACAGGAAATGTTTGAATCAGTCTACATGTGAACAAGTCACAAGTGAACCCTTTAAAAACGACTCACGAACATTATACAGGAATCAGAGACGAGACAAACTTGGCCTATTCTTCAGCGCCAGGACAGCTATATTATACTAGACTATACTATATAGTATTATACTAGACTATATTATATAATATTATACTATACTATGCTATTTTATACTATAGTATGCCTGCTCAGTGCTCACCATGATAAGCGCCTTCTCGTAGTCGAACTTCCGGGCTCTGAGGAAAGTGAGGAGAAAGGCGCTGTCTGTACGAGTCTGCAGCCCTTCATCTCGCAGAACCATTTCCCTGCACACAAAACAATCTGTGGGATAATAATATTCACTTCCGGGCCACTCAAATATCAAGATTTCATACATTACAAAGAGAAGGCGGCGAAAAACAATTCATGCAAAGAAAGTAACGCAATTTCACGCCGCAGTTTTAGTGAGAGAACGTGGTGCATTTTTACTGAGATAGCTCAATTCAAATGATATGATTATTGTAGACTTGGAACGTCAAACAAAACGAGTATACAAAACATATAAAGAAACGCGTATACAATTATTAAAGCAGAAAGTATGGCAGTTCAATTGATACTCTAATCAGCCTCTCACGCAATTTTTTTCTTGAAAGCGTCTCTCGTCTAACCATCAAATTCGGAGGGTGCACCGAGTTGATGAGAAATTAGTTCAAAGTTAAAAAGAAAGTGACGCTTGAGGATTTTTTGATTACAGGAAGGAGACTGTGAAAGCATAAGATATAAACGTTATAGAGTCGAAGTTATGCACTTGAACCAGGAATGCATACGAGTGTAAGAATCGTTAAAACATTTCGTTATATGGCGATGCGTCATTTGCAGCACAGCTATACAAGTGCATGAGCGAGGGACCTCCAAATGTGTTGCGGAAGATTTACTTCAACGTATACCTAACAATCGTAAACGTTTTCTGTATCTAAAGATCTGTTAACTAGAGTAAACTTCAAAAAAAAAAAGATTATCCATTTGGTTGCAGATACAATAACCGTCGCTTATGTTGTTCGTACCTAAATTTATGGTTAATAGTGAAATTCAAAGTCAGTAAAAACGGTTAACCCTATTTCTACGGAAATATTAACAGTCGTCTAAGTTATTTTATCTAATGACCTGCTAACTAGAAATAACTTCAAAAAGAAGAAATATTAACCATTTGTCTAAGTTTACATAAACCGTCATTTTTATTAATTGTAGCTAAAGATATTGTAACTAAATTTAACGTCAGCAAACACTGTCAACCCAAATTCTATCGATATATAGTCGTCTATATTATTCGTACCTAGAGGTCGGGTAACTAAATTTGACGTCAGTAAGAACGGTTAAACGTATTTCTACCGAATCATTAACAGTCGTCTATGTTATTCGTACCTAAAGGTCGGGTAACTAAATTTGACGTCAGTAAGAACGGTTAAACGTATTTCTACCGAATCAGTAACAGTCGTCTATGTTATTCGTACCTAGAGGTCGGGTAACTAAATTTGACGTCAGTAAGAACGGTTAAACGTATTTCTACAGAATCAGTAACAGTCGTCTATGTTATTCGTATCTAGAGGTCGGGTAACTAAATTTGACGTCAGTAAGAACGGTTAAACGTATTTCTACCGAATCAGTAACAGTCGTCTATGTTATTAGTATATATGTGCATGGCAACGAGAGTGACCGTCACTGAACACATGAAGCATCAGAGCAAGTGCGCAGTTTTGGTTCGGCCACCTGCGCATCAAGGGACTGCACAGAGGGTAAGAAAATACACGGAATCAGATTTATGTGCGTTATTTATATTGAGATTCCAACAAGAACATCTTTCGTATAAATTACTAGAATTGTTTTATCGATTGGAAAATTAGTAGACTTCATATCTGACGTAAAACGTCCCTTTTAAAGCATTTTTTATAGTGTAGCGATCAAAATTAACCGCAATAATATATCAATGGACCAAACATAAATTAACTAAGCGCCAAGAAACGCGTGCAGTTTCAATGTTTGTTGTAAACCAAGGTTTAATCCTCAGCGAGGTATGCAAAATAAGTAAACCTTTATCAGAAAACACGCGTGCGATGAAACGTCACGCTATCTCCGCACAGGAAACGAGTGTCTGCTTGTCGCTAGCCACACTACAGGCAACTCAAACACATTAAATTTGAAATAAAATTTTTTAGCGAATAATTCAATATATTTCTGAATTTAGCGGGAATAATCATCAGATTTGCATACATAAAGATTTTTTTTAAGATAAATTGAAGGAATGCAACTCAAATGTGCAGACGTGAAAAACCTTAAATTATATGAAGGAAAACGAAATTTGGTTAGTAATAGCACTGGTTCGTGTTTACATTATGAAAAATGCTTATGTCATCCGACGACATGAAATGAATATTTCAGTATTCAAATGTTAATATCGTTTATCTATTATTCGAGTAAAGTTCACTATATACCTAGAGCAAATTAAGCGGGTGAATTCTAACGCTATTTAACAAATTTGATTATCCGGGCCAATCGCAACAAAGAAAAAATGTTTGCATTACAGCCATTTCAGTTAGATGAATATGATTTGCGGATTGTCGACAACAATGGAACACCTAAATTTGAGCAGCGAGTTGTGGGTTCGATACATGCAGTAAACTATATTAATTTCTGGTCGCAATCGACGAGGCGGCCGGGCGGTTAAACACTGCTGATATTGGAGCAGTGAGTTGCGTGTTCGGGCCACCCAGCAAGCTGTAAAAATTTTGCGATTGGAAAAATCGATGACAGGTATAACGGCCTAATTATAAATACTGACACAGATTACTGTTATTATAAAGTATCTTACTTACCGCAACGCTTCAACGTCTCTGACGATCCACTCCTGCTTTTCGTGGAGGTCCAACTCCGCTTCAGCAAAATATTCATCAGGCAAAAGGCCGTCTGTGGCCGTGGGCGGTTCCCGTCTATCATCGCTGAATTTTGGACATGATTTTCTGGCCTCCCCGTTTGTGTTTTGAGTAGAATTACAGTTGCTTTCATAAGCATAGTGAGACAAAGATTGAGTTTGCTTATTCAAAAATACCGGAGAGGATTTATCAACATTAAAAAGGGATTCCGAGAGGCTTACGTTTAATTCAGAAACTGTAAGAGGAAGTTTTGTCCCGGAGGAATCATTCGCCAGTAACCTACTATTAACATTTCCTGGATATGAAGCCTCACAGTTTGCAGATGCTTGATGATGATGATTTAGGCTGCTAATTTCTTCAAGAGGATTAGATCTTTCAGGAATTTCTTCACCTTCATGCATTTTATGGCCCATGCTACACCGAAGAAGTGATTCACTTTCATTTTGCTCAACTTTCATAGGCGTGTTTTCAAAATTCTGGACAAGGTCGAGAACATCTGCGACGTGACAAGGTTCTGTCGGTGGGAGAGGAGAGGCTACCAAGGTCATGGCTGTAGAATGAAATTAAGAGTTCTAGAAAAATTTAGTTAAGCTTATTCTCGTAAGCAGCATAGACGAGTTAACGAACGAAAATAAGCAATAGCTCTTTTTACTGGTACATTTTTGGAGCAGTTTTGGGATATGGTCAAACCAATTCTCTGCTCAGAATAGGTGTTATTAAATTGTCTGAAACATAGGAAACATATTAGTAATATAACTATATGACAACAATGCCACATCGTCTCTGGGCTCATAATATAAATACCTACGCCAATTACAAACAAAAAATTGAATTGTCGTTCTTAATTGATAATTAAATTAGTAAAACAGGTTTGAAGTGCATAAACAGATTCCAATGGAATTCGTAACTGAAGGCCTAGTAACGATGCTATTCATATCAGAAGGCCATGTAATAAGTCACTGTTATTAAACCATAAGAATACAATGCTAAACGTCCCTAACTACAAACAGAGGTCGTGACCCAATTACTTGAACAATATATTCAGTGAAAAAAATTTAATGGCTTCGCCTCCGACAATTTCGGTGTCCTAATGAACCAAAGAGCCGTGACCTGCTGTTCGTTTAGCATCGCTCAGGGTTGAGAATAATTATAATTCTGTTTGTAAAGAGGATCGCGTCAAGAGACAGGCAGCAGTTCCTCTGCAAATACTGAATTTTGTTCTAGCGTCCCACTCCAAACTCAGAAATTATCAGGAAATTATTATTTCCATTTCGAAATTATTATTTCCATTTTGAAATTATTACTTCCATTTTGATATTTTTGGATTTCGAAATTATTTGGAAATAAATTATTTCCAAATCAAATTAACTTCAAATAAATTCATTAAATTATTATTTAAATTATCTAGATATATGAATTTCCAAATACTTATTATTTAATTTGTTCCATCAGAAATTGTTTTTATGTTCCATCTGGAATCAGCATCCAAATATTGTGTTACCTCTTCCTAAAATCCGCCTACCTTCTTTTACACATTTATGTAACGAAATAATCATATTTACCTATGTATTTTCCTTTTATGCATGACAACAGTACGATTGGTAGGTAAACGAGTAGCAGGATAGATTCCTTCATAGGAAAATAATCAAAGGCATAAATCCATTTTTAGAGAAAGTACTTTAGTGCACCGTACAACCTGACCTATGGTCAGCATTTTATTCAAAAAGTGGAATTGAACAACAGACGCGACTTCTGTCGTTTTTCTTTATCAAGTTTTCGGTGAATCAATAAAAACTATCCAACTATTAGACCACACCTATTTCAACGTAGTCATTAACTTCTAAGCTAACAGATTATTTTTTCAATATTCGATTTGATTTTTTGAGCATTGTTCATTAGCACAGGCAATTCTAAGTCAAACTATTTGACCTAACTAAGGTAAAGTCTCACCGAGCCATCCTCTGCTCCTGGGCAGTACTGGAAAAATTAAGTGGTCTAAACTTCCTTAGCCAATCACTGACGGCTTTTTCCGCTCAACCCACCAATCACAGACGAGAAATCGGTCGCTACGTGTATTTAGCTGCCACGTGTATTTTTTCCACTACGTGCATTTAGGCCGCTAATTTAACAGCTTTTCGAGCTATCCAGCACTTAAGTAAAGCCAGTCCTAGAACTCAATCCATTGACCCGCACCTGCTGTGTAAGATTTATCAGTGCACACATGAAGCTCGTCTTTGGAATAATGATTGCTATAGCCATATAAACTCTCATCGGTGATGCCGAGAAAGTTGTGTGACGTGTACGAAACAAAAAAATTCAGTAACATTCAACGACATCGATTGCAATGTAGGAAAAAATACGTAAGTGAAGTCTTAACATTCATATAGCTCTATATACGCATATACATAATGAGAAATTGCGCCTGTTTCTTTACGCAACAGAACTATCGCTTACAATGAACGGAACAATAGTTGGCGGCTCGCAAAGAGTTGCGTGACATGCGAGCGAGTTGGCCAATATAGTGATCACATCGCTAACGTGAAGCGCTCGAGTTTCATGTTGAACTTGGGTAAGAAACACGCGCATGAAGTCGTTCATAGGCAAAATTCGACTGATCTGTAACTAATGATAGAGAACAATACGTGAACCGAGAACACGTCAACTATAACAATCATCTAACAATATTCTAGAGAATGAAAAATAACTTTGTTGATGATTTTAGTCTACGTTCAACACTATTCGATTAGATGAATGTGTCAGGAACTTCATCAGTATTCCAGACGATGCATAACGGGTTGTTGTGTAGGATGCTAAGGGCATAAGAAAAAGAAAGCTTTCAACCAATCCCGGAACAGAAATGGCTTTCGATCTCAACTCTGGTATGGCGAGACTGTGCAGGAAAGAATTGATCAAATGGCCTTGAAGTGATAGTTTAGATTCTGAGAATACGCGTCACACAAAAATGAACTTTCACTAAGAACTCATAGCCCCTGTTCAGAGTTTATTTTCAATTATTATCCAATTCAATTATACTCGCTTCTCTTTCGCTTAAAATATAATTGCACTGATATAACAGCAGACGATGAGGACATGTGAGTAATTAAATTTTATTCTATTCATGGACATATTTAATTGAAGCAATCTATAAAAAATCTGTAGTGCACAAGTTGGATGAACAAGGCGGGCAAAGACTGACAAAGCGGGCCAAAACTGGCAAGGTGGACAAGGACTGGCAAGGCAACGACTGGCTAGGTGGGCAAAGACTGACAAATGCGAGCAAAGACTGGCAAGGAGGAGAAAGACTGATAAGGCGGACAAAGACTGATAAGGCGGACAAAGACTGATAAGGCGGACAAAGACTGATAAGGCGGGCAAAGACTGGCTAGGCGGACAACGAATGGCAAGGCAAGCAAAGACTGGCTAGGCGGACAACGAATGGCAAGGCAAGCAAAGACTGGCAAGGCGGACAAATACTGGCAAAGCAACCAAAGACAGGTGCGGCTAGCATCGACTAAACAGCAGTTGCTACACCTGATCAAACGCAGCGAACAATTCACTCTGGCGCCGACTGACGTGGTGGCAGTGCAGGTACAAGGGTACATTTAGAAAAACTGTCCAAATAGTGAAACACTTTATTACCCTCACACAGCACAAGCAGAGCTCCGGCGTAGCACTGATACACACTTTTACCGGACCAAAGTAAGTCAGAATAACCCACGCAAAGGAGAAAAATGCATCGCTTTATGGACAAAGTCTCGCTCATTTATCTTATTGAAAGTACTAGCAATTAAATACTTTCAAGTTCCGCAAGTAAAATGGCGGCACATGTAATGGAAATGAGCACATTACTTGAAGGGTTTGAATTATCTATCAAGACTAATGAGAGACGCGAAAGTTCAACAGTTAATCTCAAGGTGAAATGTGGAACCTTGAACAATTAGGTCATTGTCATGCTCGACAATAATGACGCTTGTTGAACATATTTTGGTAAAAGGCGAGTCTGAGGTGTCAATCAATTTTTTAGTTTTAGCAACCATGACACTCGGCCTTCAGTAGAACCCGAAGGATTCTTTTGTCCCGAGTTTCCAATGTATACCTGAAAAACATTTTGTGCGTCAACATCAGTGAACTTCTAAAATGTTAATTAAATTTACCGGTCAGTTACCAGTTACCACCAGCTATGCTTATATACGTTTCAGCTACAAGTGCCTACAAGTTACAACTGTTGTTGGAACTACAACGGCCAGAGTTCACGATAGTTTGACCAGCTACAGTAGTTATCGTACAAAAGCTTTCATTAAAACGATCATCTCGTTCCCGTCACAACTTTCAGTCACTCTGTGGATGCGTACGAGATATTTTCCGTAGAAGTTAACTCTTATGAAATTTGTGCGCGAAAATGTCGAATTAAATGACGTCAGAACTTAACTTTCAATCAAAATCATTCAAGTTAACACTTCAAAGATCAAGTGAAACGCCCATCGACACAGTGAAAGTTACGCAGCAACAACTTATGAAAATCTACCTTCTTTACAACCTACCAAATAATATTATCTACAATACTTAAGTGAAAGGGAGTCACGGTTATACGAGTTGAAACAGCGCCCTTGGAATTGCTCCACACTCTGCCAAATCAATGGCCCCTCCAGCTTGATCCAGTATCCTAGTCAAGCGAGCGTTAACCTTACTCGACACTGCCTGGACTCCTACTGGCGGTCATCGCGGACAGGGTTGCCAGATGGAGCCAAGAGAAAAAGGCCAAATTGACTCACAAAAAAGGCCCAAAAAGGCCCCATTTGAAATTAATAGAAAATTTTTAAATTTAAGGTAGTTCTAACCATTTGCAGTGCATGTATTTACTGTCAAGGCTTTCAGACAGCAAAAAATACACCAATTTCATCACGTGTATGAGCTGAATTACCGTCAATGCTACATAAGCCGCCAGCCTGCAGCGAATTGCACTTTACTCGCCGACTGTAAATAAAACCGTATAATACATGATATTGAGGATTCAATTGCCACCTAACAACCATAAAGCTTTTCGTTCGCGTTAGAGAGTTTGGGCTCAGTTTTGCTATTTTGCTAACAAAATAGTAAAGTGGTAGGCGACATAGGGTGATGTTGGCGGGGAGCGCAGCCGTGCACCACCAATTTTGTGCACCAATAAGCCCTGAATCGAACGCCTTGGATATCTCCGGACATCCACCAATCAGCCGTGAACCACTCGGCTTTTTCTTCCTCCGGCCTCGCATAGAATCTGCCGTGCACCACCAGTCCACCAGGCCGCGGATCGAATCTGACTTCCGGGCATCGTTAAATTACGTAATTTTACGTTCACCGCATCTGAGGTTAGGTTTCAGATAGCATAGTTCTGTTCCAAAATTTATCGTCTTTCGACAATTGGCCGTTCGTTCGAGGGCTGGTTCGACCTACGGCCTAGATACGGACGGCTTCAAGTGATGAAGGCGACGTTCCGGAAGGCAGGAATCATGATGGTCCATTACATCCAGGGCAGTTGTGGTCTTCGGCAGGCGACCCATGTGGCGAAGTTTTTGACATGTTGGCATTGACGGTAGAATATTTATAATCGGAAGATGAAAAAATTTAAACTCATTTCTGCGGTATAGAGATGATGTGGTCCTTGCAAGACTATATAATCTAAATATTAAAAGTCAATCCTATAAATTTATCACAACTTTTGAATGCGCAGGAAAATAATATATTG